CGATTTAGAAAAATCAAACAATTAGGTTTCCGTGACCGGCGCACTAACGTGGAAATGCGCGTAATGATGATATTCGAGAAAAGGATCAACATGGCATCATAAATATTCAAACAACAAATGTACATGTTAGTCTAGTGGCTATCTTTAGATTTTCAATCAACTTGGTTCAACCCCTTGTCAAGGGACAATTGATATGTTTCTTGAAAGATTTATATGACAAGAAAATCCTTCTCCAGGAAACACATAATATATCTTTTAAAAGGCTTTTAGGTGATAACAGAGAGGCATTAAAAAAGAAATAAGAACAACACATTGATGTAACTAAAATGAGATTGTTAGGATGAATGGTAAGTGACTAAAATAGATAGGGTTGCTAATCTAAGTGAGGAAGAAATATGAGTTGCGCCAAATCGTGATAAAATAGGAGAAAGTAAGAGACAGAAAAGCTAACCAAAACTAACATGGGATGAAGTTATTAGAAACAAATTTAAAAATTAAATACAATAGGATAAATGACTTGTAATAGAAAAGAATCGAAAATAAGAGTCCATTTGGGAGACAGGTTTATATGAGATGAAGGCAAGAATGACGATTATTATAAATAAACCATGTAATATCTCATTGTTCATTTGCTATACAAAGATGACATGGCTAACACTAATTTCAATGCCTTAAGCTGAATCTTGCTTTCGTAATTGTGAAGTCCTTAGAAAATGGCATGGCAATTATGCAAATGAGATTTGAGATACATTCTATCACATATGATGGTGCCTTTAGAAAGAATAAATTGCTCAAACAATTCTGGGCGATAGGATCAATTTCAGGATTTCACAAAATAGAAGCATATCAATTTTTACTATCTATGGCCACAATTTCTGTAAGATACAATTTACAAGATGTTTACTTAATAATAAAAAATTAAAGAAAAGAAAAAGAAAAAAAGAGAGCCAAATAAGATGCAATGAGGCAAACCAATTTAATTTGGACGTCAAAACACCCCTAATAAACTAAATAATGACACAGTTCCTTAGCAAAATTTATACTGAGATGTGATGGGCAGCGCAGGGAGACATCAACCTGTACGCATATCACAAACTTATTCCTAGCATTCAGAGCCTCAAGAATCGCAGCCTACCTCTGACAAGAAGGGAAGATAAAATTTTATCTGAGGGGTTTTAAGTAAATACTGGAATTGGAGGATCATTAATCTTTGATCCACTACTTGTGTTTTATCCTGACAACCACTCAATATCTATTGGCTAATTGCCCTGTGGCTCTAGTATGTTTCAACTTCAGAGTAAGCTAAAATCATGCAAATATCATCTAACGGATTGGAACTGACTTCAAATTGCACTTCATTAAGTCAAGCTTTAGATTCCATTTCCACAACATTCTTCCAGCCTATTTCTGTAGTGATCTCTTTTGGTAATGCGTAGATCAGTTCTGGTCGTGCTTGTTTGGATGCCTCTCTCGGTGATTTCTCAAAAACAAGGGTGCATCTCATAAATCACAAGGCAATCATAAAACTATATCCTAGAATTTACATTCCCAAGCACCTCCTTTTTTTCCAGCTGAATATCCCACGATGATCTGCTCCATAGAGTTCACCTGATACTATCTTCTTTTTTTTATAAGTAAAATGTATTAGAAAGCATTCAAACGGGGAATGCGTCCCAAGAACTATACAGAGGCCAAAGCCAGAGACAAGGTCCTAAGGACCCACCGAACCCAAAAAATCAATAAACTCATCAATGTATATACAATTTCTCCCCCAACTAAAAAGAGAGCTAATAATATGAAACTTCAAGGCCCCTAAGGAAGATTCCTCCCCTTCGAAAGATCTATTCCGCTCCTTCCATAAGCACCACTAGACATAAATGGTAATAGTATTAGTTAGAACTGAACTCCAAAGCATCTTTTTTTGACAACTAAGTGGCAGACTTCCACTCAAAATCACCCACTGCATAATCAAAACTGCAGGCTACTCCAGCACACTAACAACTGTGGCAGACACCGCACTGTTACTCCTAAAAAAAAATAATAATAAATAAATAAAAAATCTTCTCTTTCCTTCTACAAGAGTAATCATTTAGTACAGGAAAGAAATCCTGCACAATTATTTCATTTGCACATAAAAATAACTATCAAACACAAGAAAACTAAATATAATATAAAAAGGGAAATTTTTGCTCCCATTACACATCATCCAATTAATTGAGATCAATTCTTAAGTTATTAAGCTATCATCCTCTAGATTTTATTTTGCTACTTCACTTCATCTTCCAATAAACTCAAATTAACACTTTTGCATTGCCAAGTTTGAGAAATAACGAACTCAACTCAAAATCAGGTATACGAGGTTAACAACTCAAACCATGTGCAAAATTTTAAAAAGAAGTTCCATTTTATAACATCTAATGAAACTTGTTGTCTCTTTTTTGGGTAAATAAAAAATAAATAATGCAACTGTTCCATCAAGACAAAATAACAAAATGCAAGGCAATTACTTTATTTCTATATCTTCATTCTATTATTATTTATTTATTTTTTTTATGTTTGGGGGGGGGTGGTTGGGGGGAAGGGCGATATAGGGAGAAAAAATCCAATGGGCCACACCAATCCTCATGAAATCCAATGATTAGGAAATCAGGCATATGATCAAAATTTTGTGCATCAGTTGGCCAATTCTTAACAATGAACAACCAAAGAACCTGCCTCGTATAAAATATACAAACTGTCCAGCTGCATTTCAGATATCGATGTTTTAGTTCAGAACAAATTACAACACTTACAGAAAAGACATAATCATCTTCTGTCAGGATCATCACTTACATGATCCCAAACCCGATGTCTTTCAATAAAACTTCAACTTGGGTCCTCCTAAACAGGGCCTAACTGATCCAAGCAGACCTCAATTCATGTTATGTTTAAAGTGGTTCTTCATGGTGACAGCTCCTTTTATGTGCTCATAAGCTCAAATATAAATTATCCTTGAATTAAACTTTAACGAAGGGTCTTCAAAAACAGAAGCACATCTGACCCAGCCAACGTTGAGTAGATATTTACTTAGCACAGTGCTTAGCGCAATGGTAAAAACTCAAACAGACCAGCATGAACAGGCAGTTCAAGTATCATAGTAGCCACCTTAACAAAGGTTGAGTCTATGTCTAATTTTCCCCTTTCAGTACACGTGTTGGCAGGACATACAATGGGTATGCACCATGCACTGCATACTCCCCACCTTCCCCTCCCCTCCCTCTTCCAAAAAAAAAAAAAAAAAAAAGAAAAAAGAACTTCATAGCACTAATTGAAAAACATAAAGTCCCTAAACAGCAGAAAGGTCAAACAATCATGCAAATTTTTTGTCATCTATTTCTTTCTATTAGACTTCATATTCTCTTTTTGTGTTGGTTTGAATACCCAATTGAAGTTGACCTGACTTCTGCTATAAACTTACATCATGATATAGTTTCATGTCTAAGCTCAGATTGTTTCATTGTCATCTTTACAATACTCTTAGCAAGTTCAAGTAAAACTAAACACTACCAATCTAAATTTAACAAATAGCCAATATCGAAACATATAACCTGATTCTGCAGAGAGGTATGAGGGCATTGCTTTATTTTCTAGTAATAATAATTTAGAAAGACTATTATTAAATAAAAGATCTATTATTATCTTAGTAAAATTATTAAGCAATGTATATGCTGATAGTGTGATATAATAAATGGTGTGAGGAAGTGTATATATTGGCTGTTCATTTGATGCGCGTCTCATGTCTACTGGTCGATGAAAAAGTAAGATTATCTATAATCAAGAGCATTAGTACCATACTATGACGTTCACTTGCCATTAATTTTATTTTGCAATAAAAGATTGCCAGGATTATGACTATTACATGGAGAAATATATAATTTGAAAATAGAGAAGGACAAACAACAGAAAATGTATTCTAATGAACAAAAGTTGAATATGGATTATGGAAGGATGGTGAAAACTGATTGTTAGGAAATACTGAGTAACCACATTAATCATTACTTTTGTCATACATATTTATGTGCACATTAGCTAGTATAAAAATTTCTAAAGGAAGGAAGCCATGCCCAACGAGGAGCCCATCCAAGAACCAAATCCCTATTTTGTTTATTTAGTTGATAACAACCAAATGTGTGTGTGTGTGTGTATTAAATATTGGGGCCGTTACTTGGTTCAAGCTTAAAAGCGTGAAGAGAATGGTTTGAGTATGAGAATAGCTACCCTGCATAAAACACAGACATATATATGTATATTAAAATGACTTGGAATACTGAATGCTAGCACCTGAAGTTAGAATGCCACAGACAGAAGAACATTGAACTACTGAAGAAAAACCGGACATTCACTCCATGGAGGTACATTGACCCTAACAACCATAAATTAATATCAAGCTGGCTTGTAAGAAATGTTGAGATAGGCATCTACTGCGGAGGTATTGTAAAGACAAAGAAGATTGACTGGAAAGTAGAAACACCTCGAGCAAGCCGGTTTGACATGACAAAGCTTTTACTCAGATCTTGAATTATGCTTCATCACTAACCAGAATTGGGCCAGGTACAAATACCGGATCTCAAATTTGGTACGTGAACAAAAATAGTTTACACCATGATCAAGCGCAAGCTCAAAGAACCTAAATGAACTAAAGGTTAAATGAAGTTACTAAAGCTGGTCAAACTTGAGAATGGCACAGGTCAATCTGAATTGAATTAATTGAGCATAAAACCAACATCCGTAAACATATTCCACAAACTTCAATAACCATAGTTTGAGGAAAGAAAGAAATAAATAAATCATAGTGTTGAAAGAATTCCTATACTGCTAGTTTTTTCTAATAGGGTTTCCTCTTTAAAATCCTAGAGTCTACAGAAGCTTCCAAACTTGGAACTCCTCAAATGAAACAAATAGAAAACAAAATGAAAGAAGAGAGCATAATCAAGGTCAACATAAAACAGTGAAACCACATGTAAATAAATTGTAATTTGATATATATCAAGCTAAACCAAATAACAAACTATAGGCCAAAATAACAGTAACAGACATTTCAGAAAAAAGCATATGAAAGTACACAACCCTTTTAACATCTCTACCCCTTCCTAATTTATGGTTCATAATTGCATCATGAGTAATTCATAAAAATAAAAATAAAAATAGGGGTGCCACCATTGAAGAACACTACACCTCACTTGATTAAGTTCTATCCAACTTGCGTAACTAATATACAGTCAGAGAAAAAAAAAAATTTATTCAGCACCTGTATCCTCTACAGCTTTCTTGTATTCTGGCTTGAGCTCATATGTTCCTTGGTTCGTTCCCCTCTTATTGTACACGCATAGCTCATTTAGAATCTCTTTCAAGAATTGCTGCAAAGAAAAAACATCCAAATTTCCTGTCAGTCAAGTGCTACTATAAATAAGAATATAAGATTTGTGATGTGACACCATGCAATCATCGTTTCTCATACAAACATGAGAATACAAGATTAACCAACAAAAGTGTAAAGACTTCTCCTTATCATGTTCAAAGTGATTGGTCAACGACCATATATAAAACAGAGGCAATTCTATAAAACAGTTAAAATCTAGAAAACCATCAATCAACTACGCATAATAGAAGTAATTAAGAGCTGTGAAATAAAAGTAACCATCAATCTTCTATCTTTCTGAGCACAACAATTCAACCTTGAGGCCATGACAAGTATACATCTCAGGAAAAGGAGCTGCTAACTTGGCAAAATTATTCAAAATAGAAGAAATAGAAGGACATACCGCAGGTTGATCTGTCTCTTGGACTAGCTGCTTTAGGGCCCAGTTAGGTTGTCTTTCAAAAAGCTTAAACATGATATCCTCTAGTTCACCACGATCTCTCCTAGTTCTTTTAACATCTGATCCCTTAACTGGAGCTGCTTTCTTCTTATCCTGGATGCAGATAATCAATGGTAAACGATACACTTCTCATTTCCATGGCCTACACAAATGCTCTTTCATACTTGATTATAAATATGTATTGATGGTGGAATATATAAACTTAATTATCAGGGGAAAATATGTAAACACGTTTAACTCCATGAAATATTATATTACATAGTTATACAAGTTCGTGCAATAGTTTACAAAACAATGTGGCAGGCTAACTAGCTGAACTGAATAAGAAGAGGACCACGTTGGGTGGGCCATTAGCATTGGATATTTTTCTGTTCTAATAAGGCAACATAAACTCCAAAAGCTTGGATATGAAGTTCATTAAAAAACCAACATATAAGGTAACAGAGTTGCACAGATTTCGAATTTCATTACTTGTGAAGGTATAAAAATGAATACCTTAGAACTAGAAGTAATCAAGCCAAGCATTCCAGATCCAGGCATGGGCCTCATATGCACTCCACGATCATTGTCAATCACCTGTTGAATAGCCAATGAAAAGGAGAAGAAAATTTGAATGACAATCATCCATACTAAAAATAATGATGCAACAGATAATGGAAATGTCGATTGATATACCCTACCTGTATTTGTCTGTTTTTAATCATCGATTTGTTTGTCCTTTCACGGCACAATCTGCTATACTCCTCCATGTTTTCATTATGGGGCTTCATGTCAAATTTATGTTCCACTTTCCCTTCCATTGCAACCTTACCTAAAAAAGAAAATGACAATCCTTTGCCAATTTGTTAACAATTCTAAAGTCAAAAAAAGCCAATACAAACGTGAGACATAAACAAGAGGATCATTAAGTAGCCTGCTACATGTAAGCTACACCAATATACATCCGATGCATAGTAATGATTATGGAATGTTAAAAAAAATGGTTTAATATAATATGTTTTTTATAGTGATACCAGACAATGTGTAATATGATATTCTTTTAATTAGCGATTATGTCAGACGATCCTAATTAGGTAAAATTAATCCAAGCTATACAAATTCTACAACTCATTAGTATTTAGGGTTAAAGATCGGCTCACTAATTCAACATATAAGATGAATCAAGGGCAGAGGGAGGGGTGGGCAAGGGGGAGCCATGGCCCCCACAATAATTTTGGGAAACTATATTTACGGTATTAAATATAACATTAATGGTGATTTTCTATAGGATGGATTGCAGATGATTTTAATTGTAAGCCCTGCAAAGTTTAATGAATCTTTTGATTTAAAAAATTCAGATTTAGTACAATTTTTTTTTAAATATTATTGTAATCCTTGCTAGTGCTCTATCTATTATTCATGTATACATACACATGCACCAAAGCAAATATAGTGGCATGGGCAATGGACGACTGACTGAGGTTTGATGTTCCATAATCGCAACAAACTCTAATGTGAATCAGAAATTGAGGAATTCAAACAATAAATCACTAATTCCACCCGCCAAGATCTCAATCAACTTAAACTTGCCAAACATTAAACCAAAAAAGTTACTAGCTTAAACTTAACACCTGTGGAAAGCGTTCAGTTTGCCCTCTGGGCTTTAGAGTATGATAGTATCTTATTCGTGTAAATAAGTGCAGGCAAGCACTATATTTTTCAACTTATGAATTTATAATTTAATACTTATTAACAAAAAAAAAAAATTATAATTTAATGAAAACACTTAATGAATTACGAGATTTGAGAACAGCTTAAAACCTGCAATGTCTCCCCTATTCTTTCTGGTTCCTTTTGAAGATGAACTACTAGATGCCCTTAACCATAATTAAATGTAAGCAATCACCACATTTTCATGGACTTACTATAAATTATAAATGTTGCAGTTCAAATAAGATTCAAAACCATGGTCTGCAAGTCCTATTTTATGTAAGAAAGTGTATTTGACAAATATTTCTCAAAAATTATTGGTTCAATACCTTTGATGCCGTTAAACTTATAGTTGTCAAAATGTGAAGTTACTAATGCAAACACATACAGCCTCCGATTTGTAATCACACCATTCCCAATCTACTCGTGGAATATTGTTTTTACAAATGGTCAAAACTTGAAGAAACTGAAATTTTCTTCACTAGCTCCTTGGTTAAGAAGGCTTGTGCACTATTTTACCTAATCATGTAAATGTCTATCTGTCTCCGCCTAATCATCTAATTGTTTTTCTCTCTCTCCAATTATATAGGCATAGATGTTAGAAAGTAGTCGCTCACAACTGAAAAAACTACCTCACTCCATCACTTTTCCATAACAAAGACAGAAGGCAAACCCAGAATTAGTAAAGCTGTAGCAAGCTTTAACACATTGTCAACCCATCATACTAAATGATAGGGTACAAAACTTGTTTGCATCATTATTCAAGTTAACGTGCCACTTCAGTCCATTTTCCAGTTAAAAAATACCTGACAACAGCATTTCTCTCTCTCTCTCTCTCTCTCCATTTTTTATTCTTTCTAATGTTCTATTGGCTCTAAGATTATGTCCGTAAAGCATAAGATAGCATTTATCATGAATCAAACAAATAAAATACAGAAAAAATAAGTAAAACAAAAGTAAACTTAAAAATGTGGAATATATTGTGAGTCTCACCATGATTAGCTTCGGAAAATATACACATAGGAACAAAATCTTTAAACATATTCAAAGAGTAGCTCTTCGGCATGTTCCCTGTCTCATTGCCAGACATCTCCATCGTGAACTGATTGTAATTGAAGGAAAATGTCAGAATGGCAGAAAGAAAGATGTGCAAGAACAATGTTGACAAATAACAAACATTGTGACCAAATATTTCCTGAAATTATCTACATATGAGAACCAACAATAAACACAAATGCTTTGGTCCCTGTGAGATTATCAACCCAAAACAAACAAAAGTGAAATGCATGGATTCCATTGATGATGTAAGCCTTACGAAAGCCCATTTCATTCCGAAAAGGAAAAATTGGAATAAAATAATAAAAAAGGAGATGTAACTGCATTAGAAGATATGTGTTGATAAATACGCGATTTGATACTCCGACTAATTTAATAGCCTTCCATAAAAAAATGTTGCATTCTCTCACATTCTTTCCAGAAACTGAAATTGTAAATTGACCATAATGCAAACACTTGCCAGAACAAGAAGACAACAAAAACAGATGTCACCAAATTCAGAAGTAGAGAAACAAAATACTAAAACAAGTGTCCGGTGGGTAAGTTACTTGGCCCTGATGCCTATGGAAGCATTAGGTCTGAGGTTCGACTCCTCTTGGGCAAACAATTCCTTGGAGGGGGGTGTGTGAGTTTGTACCAACTAGGAAGGAAAAAAATACTAAAACAAAGTTCTGAGAATTGACGAGGTTTCGCAATGATCACAGTCATCATTAATGAACGAAACACATAATCGAAGTTAATAGACATCACAAGAAGCTGATGATACAGTGACGAACAGCGTCACTACCTCCACTGATCGTCGAACTAATCAAAAAGCTTTAAACATTATTCAAGAGATAGGCTAGGCCCGCTAGGGTTTTGCTGGTGAAGTGTACAAGATTTTGCAATGAAGTATAAATACAACGCACTCGTCAACTCCATAGATCACCATATACATGTAACTAATCAGCAATTGGATTTACAAATTCATCAAATTATGCGCAAAAGTGCAAAATAAAACCGTTCGCGGTAGATCGAGATTTAGTTCAAATCAAATTCACATGTGCCTGTGAATAAAGATATGGTGTACAGAGGGCAAATTATCAAAGAAACTGAAAAACAGTTCAGATATATAAATAGATATAGATAGATAGATATATATATATATATATGTATGTATAGAGAGAGAGAGAGAAAGCGAGAGAGAGGGGTACCTGGGGAGAAGAGGAATCCTCGGGATGAAGGGGATCGACGGAGACGACGACTTTGGCAACGGGCTGAGAATCGGCGGCGGAGGAGTGGGATTGCCACGATTTTGATACCAGAAGTGGGCACTTCATTAGCCATACCGATCTTTCGGCCTTTCCTGTATCCAAATTGATACCGCCACTGCTGTTGCTGTTCTCTTCATCCATCTCTCTCTCGTTTATCTCTCTCTCTAGTTTCTCTCTCCCCCTATTATGGCATTGACGGTGTTGTCTGAAATAAGACTGAATGAGGACTGAACCGGGCCCAAACTGGACGGGTCAAGTAAAAGTCGAGACCGGGTGTAGTCGAGTCTACATGAGTTTCAGGACTTTTAAGGAGCCGATTGGTTAGAGGTGTTGAAATGATTACGCAACACTCTCTGACAATTCCAATTTGAGAAAGGTGTACCTAAGAAAACCTGGGACACAGCGCAGGGATTAATAGCTCGACTCATTAGACAAAAGGAAAAGGCCAGAGCGTGGACGAGTTAGAGAGTAAAACACATGACACAACCCCTCTACGCTACAGCACGAATATTACTCACACCACGCTGCACTTTCCAACTTAAGCAAGGCCAGGAATAGTTGAAGCTAGTGGCAGTGGTGACGGTAGTTTTTGAACTTAGAAAATAAGGGTTTTTTATAAATTTATTTTTTAAAAGAAAAAAAAAATTATTTAGGATTAGAATGGTCATTTTATATATTTAATTGTGCCTTGAATTTTCATTTCAATAGAATGTCCATTCCAACTTTAAATTACATATCAATTAAATAAATGGTAAGAACTGACATTCCATTTTATTATTACACACCAAACAAAAACATAAATGTTGTGCCTAATTGAATGCCTCAAGCTTTGTTCACCAACTATACATTAATAAGTAGGGTCAATTGTAAAAAATACTACTATAATATGCTTAAAGTGGGTATCATAGAAAATATCCTTAAAGTTCCAATTTATACAAAAAAAATCTCTTATAAGAGCTTGTTTGAGATTGCTTCTCTATTACTTAAAAGCATTTTTGTTTCAAAAAATTGCGTTTTGATGTCTTTGGTAATCATTAAAAACACTTTTAATGCTTACTAAATTTAGTTCAGTAGAGCGTTTGAATGAAACTAGAATTTGAAACTTTTAAAATTACATTTTGAATAAAGGTTGAATATTTTAAGTAACTTTTTTTCATTAGAAAATGTTGTCCTTTTTATTTTTTATAAAGACAATTACACAATTTCCTTAATAAAGTTACTATTATCGAATATGTTAACATCATATTTAAGGATATTATTGTAAAATTAGCAAGAGAAGTGTTTTAAAAAATTTGTTACCAAATAAATTAAAAAATAATTTAATTGTAAAAGTACTTATTATAATGTGTCATAAAAAACCTAACATGCTTTTTACTAACCGCAATTTTTTGATACCTTGATAAAACAGCTTTTTTTTATTTCAACAACAACCTGGGCTCTAACACATTTAAAGTAGAGTTGGTTTAAAATTGCCCTTATATACACATTTTACATATTATCTAAAATACATATTTTGAGAAATGACGAAAATAGACGCAAAGCGAAATGACGTTGTTTAGCACATAGGGAGTGTGATACGCACTCTAATCATACTACAAGGGTATTTTTTGCACTTTATCCTAAAGATTATTATTGTTTTGAATTCGAACACTCATTTTTTGTTGTATAAAGAATTTTATCTGTATATATATATATATATATTTGTGAAAATTTATTACAAATTATAAAGTTTAAAAAATTAAATGTATATTTTATATATATAATGAATAAGTATGTTTAATTTAATTTTTTTTATTATATATCTAATGGAAAATGATAACTATATTAAATTATAATTGGGAATAATTCTTTATTTTTCTAATTATAATTTTTTTTTTTTTTGAGGTTTTCATTCCATGTGATATACTCTCCATTAATCTAATAAATGTGAGAACAAATATATATATATATATATATATATATATATCTTGAGATATTTTTTTATCTCTATTTAACCAGTAAAGGAAATACATATAATAAAACTTTAAAACTTATGATTTAGGAAAAAAAAAAAAAACTTTATAACTTATGAATGACATTAAGTCTTGGAAATTTTTTAACTCTCAATTCAAATAGGAAAAATATATAGAGATAAATTTATTCTTATTTTTTTTATAAAGATGAGAAAAATTATTTAAAGTAGGTTAAATGTGCACATTACACCCCATACTATGAGATTATTAGCATACACATCTCTTTAAGCATTTTTGAAAAAGTAAAAAGGTAAAACTGGCATTACAATATTATTTTATGTCATATATTTATTTGAGGGGCGTTTCAATACAGTGTTAAAAGAATAAGAAATGTATTAGAACACTTTTCAAATAATGATGATAATATTTCACTAAATGTGCAACTATGCTATGCGAGTTGAACAGTAAAGGTACAATTGATGCTTATCCTTCATGGTGCTATTTGATTACTCAATTCAGCACTTAATTCTAAATGTATTCAGTAGTTATCCAGTTAAGTGCATTTGATAATGTATTTTGAATATTGTTAAAAACGGTAAGCGTCACTTAAAATGGGATAAAATTTTAAGTGACAGAAATATCACTTATCACTTGATGCTGAACGCTGAAAATTAAAAAAAAATTCAAAAAACATTTATTTTTTAATTACCACTTAAAAACTTCAGCGCTTAGAATTCAGCTCTTAAAATTTTTGGTACTTAATTTTCAGTTTTATCAAACAAACTCCCAACAACTTATTATGGTTGAACGTAATAGCATGTTAACATCACTTTTTATAAACAAATATTTTTGAATTTTTCTTCCATTTCATGCATGATATGAATACTTCATCAAATAATAGTCTTCTGTAGCAAATAACAAGTTTATATATTCATTTTCTTCACCAAAAATGAGAAATTATGTTTTGGCAAAGTCAACAAGGTAGCAAAGCCCAATATATTGTGAGTAATGCTTGGATCCTGCCTCATCAGGACAAAAAAATGTCCTCCAAGCTAAGTTGGCCCAATAAGGATCTGTCAGTTATCCTTAACATTAAAAAATATAAAACATGGATTATACCCATTTAACTAGATGTTACAGGGTCAAATCACACTATGAATTTTTGCCTTTATAATGGCACTTGGGGCTACCAAGTCTTAGCTAACACACAACACAATACACACAATACAAAGGAACTAAGTCCCAACCTTTAATCTTATTAAACATAATACAAAAGGACCAAGTTCGTACAAGGAACCAAGGCTCTCATTACACACTCTGCAATGAACACTCACTGCCTAAACTATGCCCCCTGCATCCCAATATATAGGCCCTCTGAAAAACTGCCCATAACTGGATCTGCATATAGATGCAACAAATAAGGTCAACAAGCCCAACCTTCTAGCCAACTAACCCAATCAAACTCGTCCAGCACAGCATAGCAGTTTCTTCCCTCAACTGTTTATCTATGTCAGATATAGATACATATATTCAGTTGGATAAACCCCAACTTATAGGAACTGCCCAATAACTACTATAAGACATTCAACATATCTGTATATCCTATCACAACTGAATATAAGCCATAAGACATCTCTGGAACAACTGAACATAAGCCACAGATCATATCTCAACTGCTCCCCATGCTTCCTTTTGATCCTTCCTTGATAAGCACACCGGCTGCCAGCCTACCACCAAGTGATATATGGGTGTCATGGCCTTAGCCATGGTCCACAAGCCACATTGAGTCAAGCCCACAAGTCTAAACCCACATATAAATGTCTCTAAGTGTATAGCGTGCCAGGCTATGTGCACGCGCGCGCTGATGCTTCTGTTCGCGTGCACGCCACTGCACGCTTGTTTGCCCTTCGGTAGTTTGAATGCTCCTCTCTTGTGCAACCATCTTGGAGTGGTGCAACACATACCCATGCACGTTGACTAAGCCCTCTAAGCAAGCCATGCCATAACCCAATTGATGTGCTCCAACTACCCTTCTATAGTATAGTTGTTAGGGATATCAGCACTCTGACAGGAGTAGACATCACCTAGTATAGTCATAATGGCCTTATTGGCCCTTCCGAACATCCAAATTGAATTCCATCTTCACCAACCATCTTCTAAGGTCTCAAAGTACCTCCCATAAAGTTCCCGAGTCAAAACTCCAAACTTCACTTTTTGCCATATTTACGAAAATGCCACTGGGCATAGTACACGCTGAGCATCCTTCTGAGTATCATGTGTGCACGTTGAGCATCCTGTGCATGCTGAACATCCTCATGGCTGTCTAACCAGACCCAAAGTGTTCCCAAGACATGGCATGGCCCTAAATGCCTATGTCTTCCCTTGGACAAATGTCAAGGGGCTAACACTAGCTAGACCCGTTTTGTTTCTCTCTCCTCCCATGTGCGTATGTTTCCTTTCTCTCTCTTTGTTTCTCTCTCCTCCCATGGGCGAATGTTTCCTTTAATTTTTTTTTTCTCTCATTCCCATCTACGAATGTCTTGCCCTCACAACATACAGAGGCTCGTGAATCAAAAAAGTAAAGCAATGGAGATGATAAAAATATAAGATAATTCTAGAATAGTTGGTTTGGTTGTCAAAGATTGTTTTCTTTGAAGCCTTAAATTTGATTAACGAAATCCAGAAATTGGTTTGGGATTTTTTTTTTTTTTTTGGCACCAGAGGGATTCCTCCTTGACTTTGTAATTGTTTCATTTTAATAAATTTACAGCGGAGATGACGGGCTGACTTCGGATGGTGGTGAGGACAGATCGGATGTGGAGAGCTCGGCCATGAATAACTTGACCGGCGGGGGAGATGACAGACCGGCGAGGATGAAAATGGTAGTGGGCTTGCAGCGGTGCTTGGCGAGATTGAATGGCAGTAGGTTTTCGGTGCTGCACCGACGAGCAAGGAGAAGCTCGGCTGTGGATGAACTGCGGCTGACTTGCGGCAAGGTGGGTTGAACTCGGCCTGTGGAATGGAGGATTCAAAACGGTGACCGGTGAAGATGAATAGGCTGGTCCGGCGAAGATGAAAGGACTGAAGGAGAGAATTTCCGAACAAAAAAAAAAAAGACTGAAGGAGAGAGAAAATGGGTTTCTGATGGATTCTACCCGTAACCTAAATTTGATCAAGTATGATCCATTTTTATTTTTTTGGGCAGGTGTCAAGTTTTCATAGGGCCACGTCATGGTAGAGGATAAAACTTGTCCTG